GGATAATTTGCAGTCTTTAGCAAATGTTGCTCACCCAAGTATTATTAATCAAGCAAATATTTTTTCTACAACTTTTAAGAATACAACTTAGAATATTGATACAGGTGCATATGATCATATGACTAGAGACCCTAGCAAGTTACAATCCATTCACGCATCTTCTCAATCCGTTAGATCTACAGCTAATGGAAGTATAGCTCTTATTACTGGAGAAGGATTTGCTATTTTGTCTGATATACTCATTTTGGATACAGTTCTTATTGTCCCATATTTTGAATATAACCTTTTATCTGTGAGCCAAATTACCTTATCTATTGATTACACAGTAACTTTTTGGCCTTTTTTTGTGTATTTTAGGATATTCTGACCCAAAAGATTCCTAGTTATAGTGTTAAATGAGATCAAACTCTTCTACTTAGAATTGACAGAAAATGGATAACAAAAAGTTAGTTGTGCATGTAAAACTAGTAGTGAAGAGAAAGCTCGAATAACTATATGGTTATGGCATAGAAGATTGAGATATCTTTCTTTTAAATATCTTCAAAAATTGCAACCACATTTATTTTTGAATTGGAATGTTTCTAATTTTCATTGTGATATTTATGAACTGGCTAAAAATCATTGTATTCCTTACTTACCTAGTATAAATAAATATTTTGAACCTTTTATTTTTATACACTCTGATATTTGGAGCCATGCTACTTCTCTGTTTAAAGCTTTATATTTTATTACATTCATTGACGAATGTACTAGAATAATTTGGGTGTCCTTACTTGAGAGAAAAAATGATGTTTTCACAGCTTTTCAAACATTTCATAGTTTGGTGGGAACTCAACATCAACGCCAGATTCGTACTTAAGAATTTGACAATGCAAAAGAGCTTGTTGATGCAAAATTTAAAATTTTCTAAGCCAAAAAGATATTCGATATCATACCTCTTGCACATATACTCTGCAACATAATGAGTTGGCAGAGAGAAAAAATAGGCAAATAATGGAGGTGGTAGTGGTTCGTGCATCACTTTTTGGTATGAACATGTCTCGGTTCTATTGGGGTGAGACTGCAAAATCTACTGCTTATTTAATCAATCGGATACCTTCCAATGTATTGAATTTTCAAACACCACAACAAAAGATGAAATCTTTTTTCTCCATTCCACGTGTTCTAAATCTTGAACCAAGAGTTTTTGGATGTACTCTTTATGTTCATATTCTTAAGAATCTCCGAAATAAACTTGATCTGTGTGCAAAAAGATGTATTTTTGTTGGTTATTCTGATTTTTACAAAAGATATCGGTGTTATGACCCTCAAATTCAGAAATTACATGTGATCCTGGATGCTTCTTTTCACGAGGTAAAATCTTATTACTCAGAAAGAGTTCATGTACCTTTTTTTTAGGGGGAGAAATATGATGAAGAGAATGTTTTACAAAAAAAATAGTAGTAAAGGAGATGAAGATGTTTTCCTTGAGGTAAAAAAGATGCATGAAAATATTGAGAGAAGTAGTCAAGAAAATTTGGCTAAGAATGATAATGAACTAATGATTCTTTTTGAAAATATGTTAAAATTATCAGTAGTTGCAGATTTGCCTTTGATAACACAATTAACCGAAGAATCAACTCAGAATGTCCAGAATATTTCACCTCAGGTAATTCCAAATGCTATATTTAATGAAACAAATATTTCTTATGAATTTATGACTCTTAGATATCCACAAAAATCTAATAAAAGTGTTCCAAAAAAGCAATATAAACCTGATCCTAAAGCCAAAGTTAAATATCTTATTAATAATTATGTCTCCACTATAAGTTTTCTAAGTCATATGCACTTACTATTAATCAACTATCCGAAGTTTCTATTCCTAATAGTGTGCATGATGCATTGCAGAATGCAAAGTAGAAAAAGGCAATGAACGAGGAGATGGAGGCTTTGCAGACAAATTCCACATGGGAACTAGCTCCATTACCCAAAAGAAAAAAGACTATTGGGTGTAGATGGGTGTACGCAGTGAAACTTAAAGCAGACGGAAGTATCGATCGATATAAGGCGAGACTAGTTGCAAAGGGGTATACGCAGAAGTATGATCTAAGTGATCATCTAATGCCACCTGGAAGATGAAGCCCGAGTCAAAATTAAAACATTCAATTTGAGTAGTAATTTCCACATTATACAATTAAGTATAAAGAAGTTATCTGAAACCTTTTGACTGATCTGACCAGGACGAGATCTAACCCTTCTAGAACAGATAAGTATGTCACCTTGGTGGAAAGAGCTCCCACCACTCAACCCAGCAGTCCATTTAAGGCAGTAATATGACTCATATTCTGTTAGGATCCGAATATCCCAACAGGTACCCACAAAGAACCCAAAGTATCTGGATTGAAGCATGTGCAGCCTTCAGTTCCTTCGTCCCTACAGAACCGGTCAACAATATCCCCACTCAGTTAAAGAACCGCGCCACTTACAACCACTCCGCAGCAGCAGCTCTCCATAACCGAAGTATCCCTTATCTTTTATTTGAATTTCGTGTTCGTAGAAGTAGAAATATATCCTCATCTTGGAACTCATTTTTGAGTAGTTAACGACCTTCGGAGGTTGAAGAAGGCAGTGAATAAACAATCTCAACTTTCTGGTTTCTTTTCTCACCTTAAGTAGAAAAGCTATCTCCTTTTAATCCTTACTTTGATTGGGACCTAACACATTCATCCAAGTGCCATATGTATATTTGCGTCACTATTTTTTTCTCACAAAACAAGCCAGCTTTTTCACCAATTTAATACTTGTCAAATGGTGAGAATTCCTTAGTAGCTTTTAAGTTGTGCGTTGCTAAAGCTTCAGATACAGCAATTATTTGACGGCTAGCAAGCACAAAAGAGCCATTCAAAACAACAAAAACAAGAAAAAGACAACCTTAAATCCAACACCATATCTCCCAAGATACGTCATTCTCACAACCTTGTTATAACTGATAACATAGGGATGTTGTTGGCAACACTTTTGCAATATACAAGCCTCAATACAGATGTCCAATCTGTTCAAACATACAATGATCATCATGTCCTAGAAAGTTAATCTCTAAACCGCACACAATTAAAATGAAGTAGAAAAAAAATTGAGAAAAGACATTAAGATTTAACATAGTTCGGTAAGTGTGCTTACATTTACGGACAAAACTGAAAATAAATTTTTTTTATTATAATTAAATGAGAGAATACATCATTAATAGATTCATAAATCCTTAAATAAAGAAACTATAAGGATTTTTTCTCCCACAAAACTCTTCACGGTATACATAAAATATTTTTCGGGATAAACATAAAATATCATCCAGATTATAGATAAGAAATCCTTGTAATCAACAATAATGATGACTTCTAATAGCAGGACAAATATATGAATAAAAATAAAGTCATTAATCATGCATCATTTTTAAACTACTTAAAGGCTTCCAGTAAAAGAATTAATTTCTGCGATAATTGAGTCGTGTGCTTCTTCACATTCATGTTTTCTGGCAGCAAATTCTTTGACAGTTTGCCTTCTTCTGCAAGTCTCTCTTCTTGGTTGCAAAAACCGACATTTTCCAGTTGTATATGCCATATCTATCTGACAACGAACAAATCAATGTAGCATAACAATAGAATCCACGGCTCCGTCACCAACTTCCATGCCACGGAATAAAGTTAAAAAAGGAATTGCCCTGAATAAGCTCCCCATATCACCAGCCAATGTCAAAAAGAACAATTCATAGCTATAATCACTAGATGACGAACAGAAAGTGAAAAATAGAAAAATCATCATAAAAGAATAATGATATACCTGATTTATGATAGCCTCTCGGCCATCAGAACAGCTGCACCTTTTCTCCAATGTTTTCTAGGCAGTCAGGAAGGAAGGGAATGAAGAAGAGACTACCTCTGTTTCGAGTCTTCGAAACGTAATCTGCCATTGTTGGCTCGCAAATGAAGTTTGCTAAATAAGAAGAACCGGCCATGAACGAAAGAAGACGACAAGAAAATTGGGAGTTGCGATAAAAAACAAGAAGCAGACGTGAGTTGCCTGAGGTTTAAAGCAGTTAATTGAATAACTGGTATAGCCGGACCAGTAGAGATGACTTCAACAAATCTGACTTGGGCCTAGTGATGAATCAAGAAAACTTGAAATTCCTCCGAATCCGAAATTAATTAATAAAAACCAACTGTTCTGCCCACCTAATATATATATATATTATTTTGAATTAAAATCAACATACATATAAATAACATTATATATATATTTACAAAGTTAATGACAGATACCTCCATTTCGTCCTGGAAATTAAGAAGCTGAGAAGCACCAAGGTCATGGGCAAGATGGAGCTTCATGAGTAAAATTGCATCAGCTAATCATTAAGTTATATTATGTTATTGAGTCTTAGAGTTTTGCAAGGTAGGTTTTTTGTTTCTATTTGAATGGCGTTTTGATAGATAGATATATATATTCCTAAAATTTAATCATTAAGAATGATTTTATAAAAGATATCTCAAGCTAAGTTATATTATGTTATTGAGCCTTTGAGTTTTGCAAGGTAGACTTTTTATTTCTATTTGAAAGGCATCTTAGCAGACAATTAAAAAAGAAAACTGTCTGAGATTGATGTCATACTCCATAAGTTGGTTTCATTAAATTATTAGGATTATACTGCAACCCTTATCCTCTTTGATCGATCTTTCGAAATATTCAGTGATGTGCTTTTTTTTTACATAACAAGATCTCGACAAAATATGGTGTACAAAAAACTTATAAAAAAAATTAATAAATGACATAAAAATAAATTGTGGGTTTCTGGACTTACCTATATTTCTTCCAGTTGGCATAATGTCAAGCCTTAAATCTTCTCCAAACATAATAAGAAATTCTCACAAGATTTTAACTCCCTAACAAACACTGGTACAAGCCTCCTCTTCAGACAAATCTCTGTAAAATGAACCTCTGATTCAAAAACAATGCCAAATTATAGCATTATCGATCATTTCCACATAATTAATTGTAAATTAAGACATTATTTACTTATGTTAGATTCGAATAGAGATATAATTAATTTTGTAAATTAAAATAATATTAAATTAATTAATAATAATAATTTTAAATTAAATTAATACACAACTAAATAAAAATAATAAATTTATAATAATTTTAAAATTAAATAAATATTAAATTTTATATGAAAAATCTTTCGACCTAAAAAAAAAAAAATTACAAGTCAAACTTTAAATCGAATTCTCTATCAATAAAAATAAATATAAAATAATCCACTATAGACTAAATTCAGAACAATTTTTTTTGTGTGCAGAACTTACAAGAAAAAGTTAAACAAAATCAAATTTAAACTTCCTTATAAAAGGACAAAATTGCTCATGTCACTGCTGATGTCACCAAATAGAGAGGATGAAAACGACCTTTTTTTTTTTCTCTCTTGGCAGCCACTCAACCTCTCTCTCTCTCTCTCTCTCTCTCTATATATATAATTCTCTTCTCTTTCTTTTTTCTCCCTTTCTTTTCCTCGCAGCCTCTCTCTCTTTTTCTTTGAAATTTTTTTTTTTTTGGTGCAACATACATATATATATATATATATATGAGCTGCAGCCCTAACTCCTTTTTTTTCTTTTAAATTAATAATTTAACTTTTTTTTTAAATGGGTGGCATCTTAAGAATCTCTCCCTCCAACTCATGATATTCATTCATCTATTACTCAATTTTTACTCAATTCTCCTATTTTAATACATTTGATACTTGTCACGAATTTTGGTCACTATATTAACCAAATCAGTCTAAATTTTCTTTAAAGAATTTATTTTCATTGTATTTACCCATTGATTTTGTATTTCTTGAAGGCTTTCTGACTCCCCCTCTTCAATAACTGTAATATACTAAGAATTTAAATATCTGATAGATAAATGATATGTTCTGTTTGACCTTCTAACCGGAGATTCTTCAATAATTTGAAGTAGAGGGGGCTGATCCTCCTGCTAAAGATCATCATTTACATCTACTGGTATTGACACATAATCACTTACATCTCTTTTATTACTGATATTTTTAATTTTAAGAGGAATAAACGTAGGAAAATAAATCTCTTTACTTGTAGTCTTCTCAAATATTTCAAAATTTAATAGGGTCTTGTATTTATCAAAGATTACATCTTTCGACCTAATGACTTTCTTCTTCACTGGATCCCATAACCTGTACTCAAATTTTGTATCTTCATAACCCAGAAAAACACATAAAACTATCATGTCATCAAGCTTCTCTCCTTAGGAACATGCATAAATATCTTGCAACCAAAAACTTTAAAATGAGAATAATTGACATCCTTCCTAGACTATACTCTCAAAAGAATATCAAAATCTAAAAGAGCTTATAGAGATCGATTTATCAAGTAGCAGGCAGTGTAGAGTGTTTCACTCCAAAATGGTTTTGGTATATTAGAAATTTTTAGCAAACATCTGAACATTCTCTAGTATGGTTCTATTTGTTCTTTCAGCAACACTATTGTGCTGAGAAGTATCTGTAACAATCTTTTTATGTCTGATTTCGTACTGTAAATTGTAATTCTCAAATTTTTTTGAAGTATATTCACTATCATTATCACTGCGAAGACACTTTAAAAATATTCATTTTTTTTCTACCATAGCATTGAACTGTGTGAAACACTGTAGAACCTAATATTTTTTTTTGAAAACAAACACTCAAACTTTTCGTGAAGCATCATTAATAAATATAACAAAGTATCTTTTATCACCTAATAATTTCATATGAATAGGACCACATACATTAGAATAGACTAACGCAAGTAAATTCATTTTTCTTTTAGAAGAATTGCTAAAAAAAATTCTATATTGCTTACTATATAAACAATCATCACAAGAATTTAAATTTGTACCTTTGGCAAAGAAAATGAGAGACTTCTTTGTTAGAATCTGCAATCATTTCTCACTCATATGAGCCAACCTCCTATGCCACAAATCTGGCAAAACATGTTTTTTTTTACTGCATTCATAGTATCTCTAATTATCTTCACTTGAGTCTTGTACAGTGTGACAAAATCTATCCCTTGCAACTACAATTGAATCTTTGATGAGTTTCTATTTTCTACCACTGAATGAGTTTTAATAACTATCAAGATCTAAAACATGTGTAGAAATCATATTTAGGCGTAAATAAGGCACATGTCACACATTTTTTAGAGTCAATGTGCAACCAACATCTATCTGCACATAAATATTACCAATACCCATAATATTTGCATAAATGGTATTACCCGTATTTACTATGTCAAAGTTCCCTGCTTTATACATAATAAAGGCATTCCTCCTAGGTGTAGCATGGTAGGATGCTGTTGAATCAACAATTCACTCAGTATCAAGATCAATAACATAATCATGATCATCAACAAAAGAAAGTACAACAAGTTCTTCATTATCAGTTACACTTGTTGTGGTACTATAATCATATGTTTTTTTCTGATTATTATGTTCTCTTTTCTAAATTCTACAGTTTCGTTTCATATGTTCTTCCTTACCACTATGATAACAACTGAATTTGTTTTTATTATATCCTTTAAGATTTATACTTTTACTTCTACCCCTGCTCTCTGTGACAAGGACTCTTGAGGTATCACTGCTCACATCCTTCCTTCTAATTTTCTCATTATAGAGATTTTTTTTACCATAGATGAAGACAAAACACCGTCTGGAGTAGAGTTACTAAAAGACATTACCAAAGTTTTCCAACTATCTGGCAACGAACTCAAAAATAATAATGTCTGCATTTCATCATATAGAGTTTCATAATATTCAATTAATTTATCAAATCTTAGAACTCATTGAAGTGTTAAGCCATTGACTGTCTATCTAGCAGCTTCAGATTCACTAACTTTCTAAAACAAAAGCTTTATTTTGAATATTTTTTCTCTCATACATATTCGCCAATTTTTTTCACAAGTCATGTGCATTGACTTCATTGCTTATGTAGTGATGGATACTGATATCCACCCACTGTCGAATAGTTCTAACAACTTTACTGTGCATTTTTTTCCAATCATCCTCTGATTTTTCAACTGACTTTGCAGTTCCTAATTTAATAGGATCATACTGATTTTATAATAAAAAAAATCTTCCATCTCTGTCTTCCAAATTGAATAATTTGAAGCTATCAGTTTAATCATATTATCTATGTATTCGTCGATTCTAATTTGCACGATTAATTCTGGACCACAAATCAATTAACAAATCAGCCAACCTGCATATGATATCACTTGTTGGGTCTTGAACATAAATATAATTAATTGTGTAAATTAAGACAATCCCAAATTAATTAGTATAAACTATTAATAATAATTTTAAATTAAATTAATGTATAATTGAGTAAAAATAATAATTCTAAAATTAAACATATATAAAATTTTTACATAGAAAATACTTTAGTGTGAGAGAAAAAACAACGGGTCAAACTTTAAATCAAATATACTATTAAAACCAAGTACAAGACAATCCAGTTATGGTTAAATCCAGAACAAAAAGAAAACTTTTCTTTGTGAAGGACTGAAGGAAAAGTTAAACGAAGTCAAATTTAAATTTTTCCACAAAATGACGAAATTGATGATGTCATTGTTGATGTCACCAATGGTAGAGAATAAAAACCACTTTTTTTCTCTTTCTCTAGTCGGCCACTCAACCTCTATATTTATATATATATATATATATATCTTCTCTTTCTTCTCTCTCTCTCTTTCTTTTCCCCCCCACAGCCTCCCTCTCTGTTTCTCGGAAGATCTTTTTTTTTTCGTGCAACACGTATATATATATATATGTATTAGTTGCAGCTACCTAATTCTTTTTTTTTTTCTTTTCTTTGAAATTATTAATTTTTCCTTTTTATTTTCAATGTGCTGGATCTTAACAACTTCAACTACATCAATGCAGAAAGTAGGTAGCTGCAAACAACTTAATGCTTTTTTATTTATTACTGAATAGTCTTATAGGGCTTATTCACCATTTCGAGATTCTACTTAGAAAATAAGCAGTGCGAACTACAGAGTCTGCAAATATTTGGTATACAAGAAAACCATATTAATTTTAATAGATTGTAAAGCTCTTATTTGATAGATAAAGGATGATAGCTGATGGGAATGAGGACAAGATCATATTTCCTTCTCACAGTCACGGCAAAGGCCTCAGTCATGTCTAAATCTTCATAATTCATTCCTCCAGGGAGCTTCCAATCGAAATAATACAACAGTTGTGCCAACGGCGATATAATATTAGGTATTGCAAATGAGATGCCCGGACATATTCTCCTTCCTGCACCAAACGGGATGTATTCGAAATCCTTTCCCTTATAATCAATTCGACTATCAAGAAACCTTTCTGGGTCAAATATTTCAGGCTCACTCCAATACTTTGGATCTCTCCCTATCGCCCACCCGTTAACAATGACTTTGGTATTGGCAGGTATTTCGTACCCCTTGATCACGCAGTCCTCAGAAGATTCTCTTGGAACTAACAGAGGTGCAGAAGGGTGTAGCCTGAGTGTTTCTTTCACTACTGATTCAATAAACTTTAGCTCATGAAGTTCTGTTTCGTCCACGTATCCTTTCGCATCAAATACCTGCCTGACCTCGGTTTGTGCCTTTTTCATCAACCGTGGATTTTTCAGTAGTTCAGACATTGCCCACTCCACAGTTGTCGAGGATGTTTCACTCCCAGCACCAAAGATGTCCTGAAGCAGAAACGAGAAATGTAATTTCAGTCTGAGACTCTTGATAGAACCAAGACATAAACTTCGTCAAATAATTCTCAGCATAGTTCCATACACGTGATTGTTTCATTAAATTTTTTTGTCAAATAATAATGTACTAAAAATTTTAAATGACACAATCACGTTATGAAAATTACCTTCTTCCACATTCTGCTTTTTGCAAAATTAACCGTCCATTCTAATTATTATCTATTTAACTAAATATGTATATGTTGGGTACTAACAAAGATAACTGCTTTGATGTTGTTGTCAGTCAAGGGAAGATCACCATCTTGCTGAAAGTTTAAGAGAACATCAACAAGATCTTCTTGCTCTGGACTCGTTGCTCCAGTCCTCTTTAGTCTCTTTTGTTTGTGGTCATTGAGGATGTCTCCAAGAACCCTATCACTCTCTTTATGCAGATTCTCAAGCTTAAGCCTCAATCCACTCACCAGCTCAAGCACTTTACATGAAGGGTACATATCGGCAAGACAGAAGCCTGATGCTAGCGCCACTCCTTTCTTGACGATGGAAACAACTGCCTCTTGGTCCTTCCATTTACCACCAAAGGCTGCTCGCGATGTTATGCCGTATGTCAACGAAAAAACCTTTTCACTGAGGTTGATAGGCAAACCTTCGCTCAAAGAGATAGTTTTGATTAGACGCGCCACCTCTTCTTCCCTGATCAACCTCAAAGAGTGGACACGTTTCGGGCACAAAAGTTCAATGTTGCAGATTCTTCGCAGTTTCTTCCAATAGTCACCGTATGGGGAAAATATTATGTCTGTAGAATTGTACGCCAGTATGTCAGAAGCAACAAGACGGGGTCTATTAGAAAATACGATGTCATGGTTTTTCAAGACCTCTTCTGCGATTTCTGGAGAAGAAATAACAACGGTTGAGACTTGGCCGAGCTGCACGTGCATCAAGGGTCCATATTTCTTGGCCAAGTCTCTTAGCGAGTGATGGGGGAGTGAGCAGATCAACTGGTGTATGTTGCCTATCAAAGGCAGCTTCCATGGCCCTGGAGGTAGCTTTGCTGCTCTTTTGTTTTCGGCTTTTGGATACTTAACAATTTTCAGAATCAGAAGCAAGAAAAGAAAAGTAAAAAAAGCGGTGGAAAAGAAAGATTCAAACTCCATTGAAGACTAATTTTTATTTTACAGCTATAATATGTTTCAGCACCCGTCTATCTGCAGATTTAAAGAGTCCTTGGGAAGTTTCAGCAGATATGTTTTCTTAAATAATTTAATAAAATAATAATTCTAAAAACTTAACTGAATGAGTACGATACAATCAACATTGATATTTTAACGACCTAATTAAATCATTAAATTAAAAGTGTATTTAATTTTTAATAAAAATATAAGAAATAAAAGTTGAACACTAGAATTCTAATTTTGATATTATTTTAAAAAATTAATAAACTAATCATCTCAAAAATTTAAAGAATTTAATTAACTGTTTAGATTACCAGAGATTTCATATACATTTATATATATATATACACACACGTATATGGATATATATAACAGCACGTAATCTCACATTTGATCCCTTATCACCAGCCAATGTCAAAAAGAACTTGTTGACAACAATTCATTCCTATTATAATGACTAGATAACGAACAGAAAGTGAAAAATAGAAAATCATCATAAAAGAATAATGACATACCTGATTTATGATAGCCTCTCGGCCATCAGAACAGCTGCACCTTTTCTCCAATATTTTCTAGGCAGTCAGGATGGAAGAGGATAAAGAAGAGACTACCTCTGTTTCGAGTCTTCGAAATGTAATCTGCCATTGTTGGCTCGCAAATGAAGTTTGCTAAATAAGAAGAATCGGCCATGAACGAAAGAAGACGACAAGAAAATTGGGAGTTGCGATAAAAAACAAGAAGCAGACGTGAGTTGCCTGAGGTTTAAAGCAGTTAATTGAATAACTGGTATAGCCGGACCAGTAGAGATGACTTCAACAAATCTGACTTGGGCCTAGTGATGAATCAAGAAAACTTGAAATTCCTCCGAATCCGAAATTAATTAATAAAAACCAACTGTTCTGCCCACCTAATATATATATATATATATATTATTTTGAATTAAAATCAACATACATATAAATAACATTATATATATATTTACAAAGTTAATGACAGATACCTCCATTTCGTCCTGGAAATAACGAAGCTGAGAAGCACCAAGGTCATGGGCAAGATGGAGCTTCAAGAGGAAATTGCATCAGCTAATCATTAAGTTATATTATGTTATTGAGTCTTAGAGTTTTGCAAGGTAGGTTTCTTGTTTCTATTTGAATGGCGTTTTGATAGATAGATATATATATTCCTAAAAGTTAATCATTAAGAATGATTTTATAAAAGATATCTCAAGCTAAGTTATATTATGTTATTGAGCCTTTGAGTTTTGCAAGGTAGACTTTTTATTTCTATTTGAAAGACATCTTAGCAGACATTTAAAAAAGAAAACTGTCTGAGATTGATGTCATACTCCATAAGCTAGTTTCATAAATCATTGCCCTGACAGACACTGGTACAAGAGATCTGGAAGTAGAAAACAGAGATCTGGTATGTACTAAACAAGGCCAAATTATAGCATCATCAATCATTTCTACATAAAGACAGTAAGTAGAAAAGAAGTAACCCAAACTAACTTTATAGAAATTAAGAAGAGATGAAATAAATAGATAACTTAGCTCAATTTACAAACATAATCTAGATATTAATTTTTTTTTGGGTATATTCATACAATTTAAATTAAAAATTGCTTACTTATATTAGCTCTCGAATAAGGATATAATTAATTGTATAAATTAAAATAATTTTAAATTAATTAATAAAAATTACTAATAATAATCTCAAACTAAATTGATATATAATCGAATAAAAATAATAAATAGATAATAATTTTAAAATTAAATAGATACTAAATTTTATGTAAAAAATTCTTGAATGTAAAAAAAAAAAAAAAAATTATGTATCAAATCAAATCTATTATCAACTAAAATAAATAAAAAATTATCAACCAAAGATTAAATTCAGAACCCAAAAAATTTTACTTTTGTTTGCGTAGAACTTGAAAAAAAGAGTAAATAAAATCAAATTTAAACTTCTATAGAAAAGTACGAAATTACTGAGTTGATGTCACCAGAGAGAATGAAAACCACTTTATTTTCTTTCTCTTGGCTGCCACTCAACCTCTATATATATATATATATATATATATATATATATATAGTTCTCTACTTCTTCCTTTTCTCTTCTTTTTCTTCTCTCTCTTTCTTTTACGCACAGCCTCTCTCTCTTTTTCTCTGAGCGTGCAACATACATATATATATATATATATATGAGCTGCAACCTTAATTCCTTTTTTTTTTTCTTTTCTTTTAAATTACTAATTTGTTTTTTTTTTCACTGTGTTGGATGTTAACAATCTCTCCCTCCAACCACTCATTTATTACTCAATTTTCACTCAATCCCTTTGTCTTGATGCAGTAATGATCGTCATGAATTTTATTCAATATGTTAACCAAATCAGTCGGAATCTTCTTCAAAGAACTTATCTTCTAGTTCATTGTATTTATTAATTGATTCTGCACTTCTTGAAAGCTCTCTAGCTCCCCTCTTCAATAATTGTAATATATTCAGAACTTGAATATCTGATAGATAAATGATGTATTCTGCTTGCCCTTCTAATATGAGATTCTTCAACAATCTTAGATAGAGGCTCCCTGCTTCCCATGCTCAATATCATCATTTACATCTACTGATACTAACATATAATCACTTCCATCTCTTTCATTACTGACATTTCTAATTATAAGAGGAATCAACGTAGGAAAATGAATATCTTCACTTGTAGTTTTCTCAGATATCTTAAAATATTATAGGATTTTATCTTCATTAAATATTACATCTCTCAACTTGATGACTTTCTTCTTCATTACGTCCCATAATCGGTACTCAAACTCTGTATCTCCATATTTCAAAAAAACACATGAAACTGTTCTGTCATCAAACTCATGTCTCTGTTTTATTATGTACATGCATAAATGTCTTGCAATAAAAAATTTTTAAATAAGAATAACTGACATTCTTCCCGAACCATACTCTAGGAGGAATATTAAAATCTAAAAGAGCTGATGGAGATCGATTCATCAAGTAACAGGCAATGTAGAGTACTTCACCCC